CTGACAAGGCAGTTAGCTCTTCCGCACTGTATGCATTACCACAGTTCCCTGTCCTGACCTACCTGGATGAGCCAATCTCTTTCGCTGAAGTGAAGCATGCCATAAGAGGCTTGAAGAACAACAAGGCTTTTGGCTCTGATGGCATTTTCCTCAGAGGTGCTCAAGAAGGGTGGTGATGTCTTGATCACTGAAATTCATGCCATTCTCCTGACCTGCTGGCAGTCCCGTTTAGTGCCACAGTACCTGAAAGATGCGAGCATAATCACTCTGTATAAGAACAAAAGCAGCCAACTGGATTGCGGGAACTACAGAGGCATCTCTTTGCTGTGTCTAGCCAGAAAGGTCTTTGCCCGTGTGTTGTTAACACAGCTACAGGTCATCGCCAACAGAGTTCTGCCTGAGAGTCAGTGCGGCTTTCGTCCATCCCAGTCCACTGTTTACATCGTATTTTCCCTGAGGCAACTTCAGAAGAAATGCGTTGAACAGCAACTACACTACATGCTGTCTTCATCGACCTGACAAAGGCTTCAGTCGGTCAGGCCTATTCTCCATCCTTGGATGTTTGGGCTGCCCAGACACCCCATTATCCATTCTTATGTGTTTCCACAATACGGTCCAATTAAACAGTTCAAGTTTTGCAAAATTTCCAATTCGTTGTGGTGTCAAGGAAGGGTGCATGCTTGCCCCCCACTCTACTTGGCATCTTCTTCTGTGTCCTACTTGACCGTACATTTCTAGATTAATCTGGTATCCTGCTTCACACCCGCAGTTCAGGGAAGCTTTTCAACCTGGCCCGCCTTTGTGCCAAGACAAAGGTTAGGCGTGTCCTCCTTGGGGGAGCTACTGTATGCTGATGATGCCGCCCTTGTCGCTCACTCTGCAACTGAGCTTCAGCTTCTCTGCACTTCATTTGCAGTGGCTTGTTCAGAGTTTGGTATGAAGATCAATCTTGATAAGACCGTAGTGAAGATGCAAGGTTCTGAAGCCCCACCTACCATCATCATCCTTTACAGCCCTTGAAGCGGTCACCAAGTTACCCTATCTCGGATCCATCATTACCAACTCCAACTCCCTTGATGCCGAGTTTGACTCCAGAATTCTATGATGTACCCACAAGCCAACATCTTAAATTACCTGTGTGTTTACACATCAACCTTCAACAACAAACAGCTTGGCAACAAAAAACATCATAATTGCTCTGCTGCAAAGTCGCTGTGATGATTCCACACGTGCGACGAACTCATTTTTTCAAACCTCTCCCAACCAGTACTTATGTGTTACAAAGATAAAATAGAACTACATATCCAGAAGCTATTATTCTATTGGAAATACAGTACATGTGTAACCAGGTCGAGTTTTCGTATTCTTTGCTCTTACCCGACACCGGTTCCTGATAGTTTTTCTTCTGTTCTTAGTCACGCTCCACCTTTCTGTATGGGTACGCTGAAGTGCATGTACTGTGCACGGTGGCACTCCTTTCTCGATCGCTTACTCACAGCACTTGCTCTTATTTTTGCCACACATCAGGCCTAAAGGCATGAATGGCCAGTCGGGGTGGTAAGTAGGACCTTTGAGTAAAATATTTGTTCATAATTTTTTTATGCCATTTCTAATGCCATAGCTTAGTTTTATGAATTTGCCTTTTCAGCTTGTTACTATGGAATGACTTAATTTATGTCCACTCTAAAATAATGTCAAGTTTTCTTAAATTCCAGGAGACTGGTATTGATAGTATTCTCATTAATTTGTCTCTTGAAATGGGTAAACTCTTGTGGCTATAGGCCTATGCTCTTCTTCAGAAACCCTTTTCTTTAAACAAATTACTGGCTTAAATTAACTAGTAAATTTAATTGGCTATTGGATAGCATAATTTATTGGTAATTTAATTTTCTGTATTAATTCCTTTTTTTTGTCCAGGTGATCGCCATCCCGGCCACCACACGACTTTGTTTTTTTTATATCTTGTAACTATTCCCTTTGTACATCGCCGGAATCGCTCAATGAGTAGTGCATAAAACTTTAAAATTTTGATTGGCCTGGCAGCGAGAATGTTAGTATTAAACGGTTGTTTAATCCTTTACCTGAAGAATTGTAAGTCTCAATTTTATCCAGTTACTGTGAAACAGTCAGGTGCACTTAATAAAGAGAAGGCCTGTGATTTTCGTGAAAACACTAAGCAAGTTTGCATGCAAATAAATCGTTGGGAAATTGTCGATCATCGCTGAAACATAACTTTACTGATCGTGAAAAACGTCAACTATCTACCCACCAAGCCATTTTAACCCACAAATGAAGCAACAGGTTTCCTGGCGGGTTGAAGGGACACTACTGTATTCTCATTTTTTCTCGCCAACTCCCATGTACTCGCGAGATCGTTTTTGCGTGTAAATGGAATTGCCAAAGTGCTCATTAATGGAGGGGCTGCACGCTGACTGCAGAGGACTACATCACACTTTTTGAGAACTGACGAGCAGCTAGACACCATGCTTCATCTTCGCATATGATGGGATAGGCCTTAGACAATCACAGCTCATGCCAATGTCATCATATTTATGCAACTATTATCATCAAAATGTCAAGCGTGGCTGAGTCATTGCTGAACTGCGTCGTACTAAAACTCTCTTTATCTGCACTGGTAATTTATCAGATACTTGAAGCTTTTTGTCTGGAACAGCAGGCAACCATGAGGTGTGTGTGTGTTATGTTGACAACATCTTTCATGTGAGTTGAACATAACTTAAAGTGTATTTTTTGTGTAGCCCTCATCTCTGGTGCACACAACTAGCACCCCAAGACAACTCCTACCCCAAGGCAGTAGGGTCCCCCATACCCGAGACCCATAGCACCCACCCCAGGTGTAAGGGTCTTCTCTACCCAAAGCAACACCCTCCTCCCCTTGGCATAATGGTCTCGTATACCTTAACCCTAGGTTTCCCACCAGTTCTGCATCCCCCAACCATCTTAGGATCCAACACCTTTATACTTCAGTGCACGCTAAGCAAGTTATACAACCCACAAATCCCGTTTCATGCTCCACCACCTCCGGATTACCATTATACCGGTACCAGCTCTCCACTCAATCCACTGTTGGAAATACAGTACATGTATATGAGCCCTTCCATTCTTGAATCTGTATGTATACAAAAACTGTCCAGAAATGTGTTGATGCACGGGAGACTTTTTACTGAGGTCAAAAGGTCACTCACATGCACTGCTTTCTCAGATACAGTTGAATAATACGGCTGAACCTGTCTTCCCGGAGATCTGCCTGGATCCTTCGTAATTTATGGCTTCATATACAGCTCCGTCAATCCGTCCAATACACGAACACCCATTCATTTTATTTTTTTAATTGGATTTGTGCTTAATAAATTCATTCAATAATAATTCTTTGCCTTGTCTTATCCTGGGACCTCGGAAGCTTTCCTCAAGTTCTTGCCAGTCCCCCTTTTTCGAACCACTGGTTGATGTGTCTGACCTGCATCTCAGCATCAAGTTGGTGCTCCACCTCACAGTTGTTAGGACTGTTCTGGGATGGATGGTGGATACTTTAACCTAGGGGTTTCTTCTGGTGAGTGCTTGCTCTGACAACGCAAAGCTGCTCTGGTTCTCGCCGCTCTGCACACGTGCAAAAGAATGTGCTATGGAAATGTAGCATTCAGAACCAGTCTATACATGTACTGTACTTTCCGGTCGATCGCTCTAAATCAGCCATACACGCATATGGCATGCAACCCTATTTTGCAAGAGGTTTTCTGCAAGTTAAATCACAGAACTTGTTGTGTTTTTTTATGTACGTATTTTCTGTGTTCACAAGTTTAATTTCAGGTTGTTTTGCTCGTATTTGAAGCAAGCGTGTTTCAACAAATTTCCTGCTGCGGCACAAGGTTTATCACCCGCTGGTCTGGATGCATGACGCATGCTTACCACACGATACATGGACATTGTTGGCCAGTTTGCCGTTGTGATTGTCTGAGTAGTACTGTGTGAATTATCCATTATTCTAGTGAATTGTTGACTGTAGAAATTTTTACATAGATTAAGACAGGTGTTCATCACATTTTGAGATAATTTAGAAGCTGTCGTCCCCATTCATGCCTTTCAATCAGCACAAAAAATTGCTCCCCCAAAGAAACAAAAAATGTTCCAATGTACCAACCGAACTGATTGTGTAAGTGGAAGCACAAATATTTTTGTGGCCAGAAAAAGACTGCATGCATGCAGAAGGTGTAAGTGAAATAACCGCAATAATTGTAGATTCCGAGAAATCTTGGGCAAGGTTTGATCTAAATTGGGCAAGCAAATTTTTATGGTATGGCCTGCTCGATAGAGCAAGCTAAAAAGAATGAAATTTGTCATGGCCCGCGTCCGGTTGAGCGTAGGCCCGTGAACAGGTATGCATGGGATCCATCTGTACTTGCATTGTACTTCCTAGGCCTTAAACATGGATAGTACGCGTAGTCTCTACATAATTGCTTGTGTTATATAAAATGGTACAACCTCAAACCTGACGCTCTGGATGCCTTGATGAGGGTTGTTGCTGAAGGTCCTCCAATAAGTGTGTTTGTTTTCCATCGGGCATTCAAACTGCGGTCTGATAAAAAGCCTAGAAAAGTTTAGGTCTCTGAATCATTTATTATACACGTATACATGTGTATATGTATTCTTCACATGTACTTACGTGTACCTTGGAAATATTTTCCAGCAAAACGTGTGAAATATGAGATGTATTCCAACAAACATTTGAAATATGAGATGTACAGGGATGTAGTTTTTATTAAATGTTTATAATAATTGATCCATTTGAAAAGCAGTTCACAGGAAATGGATCAGAGTGAACAAACAAATTTGGCTTGAAAAGTACATAATGTTGGATCATAAATTTGTAGAATGGCTATAAAATCGAACATTTGGCTACAACCTTGGCTATTGAAGTTTTCCAGCTTGAACCCTGCATGTACACTTAATGTTTCATTGTACATTGATCTTCTCTCTGCTAGCTTTTCAAGGCCTTTCAGCAAAATGGGACTGGTGACTTATGTAAAGGTAAGTTTATGCTAACTTACGTTTTACACAGACATTACACATGTATTTGTTTAATATGTAAAGTACATGTACCTTCTATTAATCTGCTTGATATATTGATGGTTGATTTAAATGAAAATACTGGCTGAAAGGGATCATGCATTCAGTAGAAATCCTAAGTACTGTATGGCAACATTAGACATGAAAACTTTATTCAGGGTGTGGGAGTTCAGCTTTTTAGCTGATTTCAGCTTTTTTTGTTTGTTTGAGATGTTGACCCTGATTTTTGTTTATTTGTATGCTTAGTCTGTACAAAAGTTTTGGAACATTCAACATTTCAGCTTTTTGCTAGTTGATTTCAGCTTTGAGTTTAACTGGCCACTCACACCCCTGTTTATTTCAGAAAAATTTGAAATTCTAACTTTTACGAGCCAACAATAGTGTTTTGAGTACATCCTTACAACGCAGGCTCTACCTTTGACTAAATATTTGAAGATTCAAAACTTGCAGGACACGTTTTACTTGTGTTTAGTGCAGTTGTCTGCTGTGTTATTCAAATGTTCTGTATGTAGTACTTGTTACAATTTTCTGATGGTGATCAATTTTATAAACCAATGATAGTTATTTGCAAGTGGCCTCTGTATCATTATTTATGACATTTTTACTTGTTTGGTCCATGGAAAGTGCAACTAGAAGTGCCCATTTCCTGTGAGTATGCTGTCAACTTTTATATAGTGNAATGTTCTCTACTGCTTGCATTGAGAAAACCCAGTATTGTGACTGTCACTGAATTTTATGATTAGAGTTGACTGTGCATAGTTTAGTTGAGGCTGATTTAGTTACTTCAGGGCACTGATATTTGACATGAAAATCTAGATTAACTTGACAGAGACAAAAAATAGGTTGAGATTCAGAAGTTATTCATCAGGAGAATGTACATGAATGAACACACAAGGCTTCCAAAATGAGGATTTAATGAAACAAAGTGCTGCATGGAAACCCATAGACGACGTCTGCTTGAAGTTTCTATCAAAGATCTATGTGAAAATCAGCAGCAAGTGCAGCTTTGGTTGTAACATTTATGTATGTCTCGTTTTAACAAAACCAAATGGAAACTTTAAAAATGGGCACTGATTGTATATGTACTTGTACATGTAAAATGAGAGTGATTTTCACAACAGAACAAAGGGTTGTTTTGCATTTCATTTTTTCAGAAAAAATGCAAGTGCTATGCATGCATATGTGCCATATGGCAGGTAAACAAAATCTTCACATGCAACAAGACTACAAGATTTACTAAAATACAAATTTGGACAGCCATTACTGATGATTATGCAGATATCCAGAGAAAAAGAAATGAATCTAGAGATTCTGTCTGTCTTAAGGACAGAGCAAAGGGCTTTTTTGCATTTTCGTTTTTTTCTCTTAAGAAAAGAGCATACCTTCATTTGAGATACTACCACATTCTCACTTCTACAGCCTGGTTTCCATATCGACGTAAGAAACGGAGAGAGCAACGCAATCAAGACGCAAACTGCAATGCAGACATGTACATGTAGAAACATGTCAAATGGAAGTATTGCTGATTATTCAAACCAGTCCCAGATGGATTGGCAAAGTTGAGTCCGGTTCAACTTTACCAACTGTCTGTGTTGAGTTACTGAGTAGGCCTATACAAATACACAAGCTGTCGTGGCGGGCATACAATGATATTTCTCCCTCTTAGTACCACTCATTTTGTCCATTTTCTTCTTATTACTAGCAGCCCCAATCGTCAACAAAATAGCTGACCATTAACAAATTACATGCACATCAAACAAGAGTATCAGTTTGGCTTCAAGAGGGAACATTGCCACCTAAAAAAGGCATTTTGGGCGAAAATTTTCAGACTGGTTAAGTGCTTTAGGTGTAATGATGTTGCACTGCAACTGTCTGCGTCTTTACATCTTGTTTACTGTCTGTGTTACAAACGACCACATGGAAACCAGGCTTTACTCAAACGTCTATCCGAGAGCTGCCTGTACAAATCATTCCCAAAGTTTCTAATAATATTTTTGGTGACCTCATTATGATGAAATACTTGAACCCTTTCGGATATTAGGAGATGTAAAGAATTAAAGTTTGCATCCTTTACACCATGTCACCTTGTCTATAAAACTTCCCATTCCAGCTGTCTACATGTACATGTACCTAATTCCATCTCAGCTATGTAGTCCATAAGACGTAGGGCTCTGAATAATGTACCTTTAGTGTCAAGTTACAAGTCACCTGATGAAGTCATTATCACATCAGGTCAGTATTCGTCTACAGCACTCCCTTTTCAAGATATCTCCAAGGTTTGAACCCAATCAGACATGTACTTCTCGAGACATACATGTAGCATGTTTAAGAGTGCATCATTAATGTCATGTGATATACCACTTGATGATGTCATCAGCACATCAGGTCAATATTTGACTGAATTACTCTCTCCTTAAGATATCTGTAAGGTTTGAACCCAATCATATATGTACATGTACTTCACGAGATATACATGTACATGTAGTACTTTTGAAAGTGCACCTTTAGTGTCACATAATTTGTCATCTCTCAATGTAATTTCTATGCACATAAGGTCAATTATTGTCTATAACACAACCCTAAGCAACCTTCAGGGTTTTAACCCAATTGGATATTTGCAATAAAAGTGAGCATTGTGTTCATTGAGAAAAGCACGGAACATGTACATGTAGGTTTTACAGAGGGATTTCACATTAGCGCCATCTGTGCATATCCGAATCATAAACCAGGCTCTCTGAGTTGAACTTCGTCGCGCACACCCACAGAGTCAACACAGTACGTGTCGTATCCGGTTCGTAAGTGTGACGCCACTTCAGTTTAAACCATACCCATTGCACATTCAGATACATGTACATGACCATCACAGGTACGTTAGTTCGCAGTAAATTGCTGTTATTTTTTTCTTTTGATTTTACGTGTCAAGTCATCCGGAAAGACTCAACAAAAATTGCAGCCTGAAAAGTCTGAATGTAACATACCTTTATATATTTTGTGTCTTGACTCCTTACTTTCAATCGTCTGATTGTATTAAGCAGTCCTTTCGTTTTAAAGCATGCGATTGCACTCCCATGCCATCACATGCCTAAAAGCTTCCCAAGAAGTGTAAAGAGTTGCACGCCTGAAACCATCTGTACTGCACTCCTTGGCATGAGTTTACTTTATAATTATACGTTGCAATTTGTGAGAAAAAGGAAACGAAAAGATTCAAACATTAGGCCTACCTGACAGTAGTGATGACAGAATCATTTTTGATTCTCCCGGTGAAACAGTTGAACACGACAGCTCTGTCAGTGTACAATCGTTCAGCACATGCAAGTTTCACAGCGTTGCAGTAAGCGTTGCTGCACGCGTAATGCTACATACACCAGACTATTCATGGCTTTACGTGCTTCTACACATCAAACGCAGTGCCACAAGATCACACCACTTTTCAGTCCAATTTTCGCAATGAATTCCCTTATAATCCCAAGTTTTTCGTGGAGATGTCTGTCCTGTAAATTGTTCCGATCACAACAAGGGCATTTTTGGGAAAAAAAATTGGGACTTTTACTCGCTTCTGCACAAAACGATCTCCAGAAGTCGACATACATTCATGATGCAGGCTCCTGCACCCTTTACGTAGTGAAACAACAAATTCTTTTGACGTTGAGACTGAGACCAGACCAGTCAATCATGATGCACAACATACATGTGGTGTGTGAAAGCCACAGAGAGATCATGCCAGCATGGATCGCAGCAGATATGTGTGTGCAGACACGTAAACGTCCTGATGTTTCCCAATACATTTTCTTAGCATTATGAACAGAAATAACTCACAGGAAAGAGATCTAGTGAAAGAAACCTCAGGAAAATCGGGAGATTTATTTGAAAAATCTAATGGATAATTGGAGTGATCTTGTGGCTCAGAGGAGCTCTGCATGGTCCGTCGAAGCTGTTTTTATGGACAGGGCACAATTTTACAACTGTCGTAAAACTTTGAATCTTTTTACATGTATTGGACATATTTCTTTGAGTTTGCTTGAAGCGGTTGTGATCTGAAACTGTTGCACCATTGTATTTGTTGGTTTTGTTGATTGGTTATATGTAATGTTAACCCAATTATAAATTTTTATTTTACTATGTCTTGATTGACTCAAGGTTTTGATTCATTTATCAAAATCACACTAGAAAAATTGCACGCCTGGAAATACCCAGTGATTCCTCTAGGACCATCCTTAGATGATTATCTAAACCAACTGGATGTATAAAACTACCGAAGTCCCCTTCCAAGAAAAGACGTGTACAAACCCTATGGAGAAAAGTATGCGAAAGAAAACAAAAATAGAGGGACGTGGTTGAGAAACAGCAGAGCTGTTTTGGAATTATCTTTTTTCATCTGTATCTTTTTAGAAAAACAGATTGAATCAATTCATTGAAACTATCTGTCAGGGAAAATGTGTCTGAAATTCTCACAGCAATCCCCAGGCAAAGCACTGGTAAGATCAATAAAAGTACGAATTAAAAAACGTGTACAAAACCTATGGAGAAAACTGCAGCTTTAATCTCATGTCGCATGACTCCTAATGACGTCAACGTGACGATTTAATTTGACAGCCCCATGGGTTGATGGACTACCTATGCTCCCAATGCAAAAATACGGGTTGATGGACTACCTATGCTCCCAATGCAAAAATACTAAGATGTATGAGTGCACCAGTCTTCAACTTCAGAAAAATGTGCACAAAATATATGGAGAAACACTGTAGCTTTTAAAGTCATTTCATGTGATTTGCATTTATATTGAAAACAAATTATGAAAAATTATTTGATATTTGGACTTTTGGATATATTTGTAATCAAACGAAGAGAAAAAAAAACAATTTTTCCTTCCGAAGTTCAGGATTACTCTCATTAAGATCGGTAATATTGCGTAGTAGAAAAGCGTGTACAAAACCTATGGAGAAAACTGCGACTTATGTCAC